GAGAGAGAGAGAGAGCAAATAAGAAAAGGATTATGAGGATTGACATGGTTGCTGAAACTGCTACAAATGATAACGCAACATGATATGACAAATCAAGCTTTGGAAGATTCCGCTGCACAAGTATACTGCTCTCAAAAATCACAAACAAAGGCCAGGTAGGAACTATCGATCATGCCATGACACATAAAAAGCACCTCAAATGATGAGCAAAAAAACTAAATAAGATTCCTTCAAGCTCTCCTCATATAATCACACGAAGAGATGCTAATGAGATTTTCCTGTCGATGAGGACCACCAATCAAGAACACAGTACCAAAACGTAGGCACCAATATCGATCTCATGTTTCAAGAAACTGCCTCAAACGGCAGCGAGATCTAAACTTCAATAGGAGGCCGAGAGCTTCGGAATCAGAAAACACCACCAGGTATCTCACTTGCCTCAAAATCCGACGCCACGGGTCCGCGAATGTGTACCGAAAACAGAACTTTATGGGAAAGCCAATAAATCAGAAGACGCCGTAACAGCAAAATCGAAACTTGGCAGCAGAAATCCCAAGATTCCATGGCAAAGCAAGAGACTCTAAAGCCTAAACATAAGCAGATTTTTAGAAGCCCAAGAATTCCTATACTCCTATCCTACAAGATCAAAAAGGCGGTTCCTGGTGCTCACGATCAAAATACCGGGCTTGTCGACTAGTCAATTGAATTCTTTTTCTTCCTACCATCCTCAATCCATTTATTTCTAAGTATTGATCACCTCCACCACCTAATTCTTTTGTAATGGGTATCCAGGTTGGATAATCGTCAGCATTCGATTTACATGGAAACGATGCAGAAAACCTAGAAAAGACAGCAGAAATCCCAAGATCCCACGGGAAAGCAAGAGATTCTACCTGGGAAACGATGCAGAAAACCTAGAAACTAAGTGCGGCAGAGGAGACCACTTTGGAAGTGCAGAAAGTAGGAGAGAGAAGGGATCGGCGGGCCTTATAATGCCGGTTCGGTTCGGTTCGGTTCAGTTCAGTTCGGTTAGGCCCGGCCCCGACGAAGTAACGGAGGCGTGGAGAGAGAGAGAGAGAGAGAGAGAGAGAGATACTTAATGCTCTCATTCCTTTTTTATTTTTCGTATATTCCATAGTAAATACTTGATCGTAATGGTGCGATAAAATAATTTACCTTTTCTTTGTCAATGCGTGTTTCCATTTTTAGCTATCATTAATCCAAAATAAAATTATAAAAAAGGTAGCCAATTATTGTTAATTGTGAATAGAAGCACACCACCAACTATTATTCCAAGCCTATTAAGTCGGGGGTTAGTGGATGGAGTTGGCACACTATAGAATGACAAAGACGAAGCAGGAGTTCAAATTGGTCGATTGATATCATCCTTTTGCTCCCTGGCCATCATCTTGGCAATTTTAGCTTCGATCTTTTAGTCCACTTTACTGAAAAACAAAACAAAAAAAGAGAGAAAAAATGTTCAGGAAAAAGAATCTAATCGAAGATCAAGTGCAAATCTTCTAAGAATTGAACTTCGAAGTGATGATGTACTTCAGATAGATTTTTGAGTGGAATTAAGCAACTAGCTATTACTAAACTGTTGGCAGTGAAAGAATTGAACTTGCTATTTTTGAGGAGGCGTGCGAGAGTGGATCACCGAGGATATGGGGATCACGCAGATGTTGTTGGTATTGATGGATGAGGTGATAGCCAACTCTTAAAGCATCCATTTTATAAAGGGGATGCAGTGCTGGCGATAGTGCAACATCGTATGTCTTTCACTTGCTTGCTTGCTTGCTGATGGAAAAGTCATGAGACATTTAGTGGGAACCACATTGACAAAATGCTTCTCGCTTTTCCATCCGTTGCTACTTAGTGGCTGCCGCTATTCTTACTTCACATAAGAAAGTCGAGCAGTGACACATAAAGTGGTTGGTCACTTTGCCGACTTCAGCTGCTCCACAGGCTATTATTGGGTGGTTATCGGTCGCTTCAAACATGTATCATCGAATTCTGTCAAAACACAATCTACGATCCAACAAGATGAGCCATACAGATCACCTGCGAAAACAACATGCTAAGTTGTGTTTGCAAATCGAATCCAACGCTGCTACATCATCAATCAAGTGCCACATCAGAAACAAGAGCACCACGTGGCACCATTTAATATGCAATGCACCATTTATATAGGATGATAAACACCCACCTGTACACAAACACTGAAGGATATAAATGGCTGTGACCAAAAGGAAAAGCCCAAGAAAGGATAGAGAACAAGCATGAGCATTGACTAACACCTGGGATTTTAATCATTGCTGCTTTAATCTTGTTGGAAAGAGTTATTTTTTGCACAAAGGAACAAGACATGCACAGAGTTCACTAAATCTATTTCCCTGTAGGCAGGAATATAAACATATGGATGCTGGCATTCAAGTAAAGATCCTCACCCAGACATTTAAGCATCTTTAAAAACACATTGGAAACTAACAGTCTCTAGCAGTTGTCAATATCTGAACTTCATTAAATATATGAACTAGAATAAGTTCAACTATCCAAAAGAAAGGGCGCACAAAATCAGTTAACTCGCTTATCATTTTAATAGAGAGAAATAATCAGTGAAATAATTTTAACTTCTACTAAATAAGCCAAAGACTCAGCTATGACTTGCATGAATCTAAGCTTGCTATAACATCTGTAACATGAACAGGAAAAGCTAATGATCCATGAATTGACAATACAGCGAGAAACCATAGCGGCAAAATGCATAAAGAATTGTCATGCCAAAGACAGGGAGCCAGTCATCAATTGATGTTAAACAAACGGAACAAAAATATATGTTTCAGGTAACAGGGGAAAGGCCCAGAATACTAAACAAACTCACATACCAAATTATGGGCCAACTAAGGGTGGTAAGTGTGATCATAGTGAAATTTATAAATCTGTAACGGAAATATGCAAAAGAATCCATGTATTGAATATGCAACGTAATATAAAATTACTTTCAACCATAGTTATCATATTACCACCATCATGATAAATGTTATCATTGAAGATATTATTAGACATGTGGACCATATTTCCAATGACTTATGGAATTCCCAACATTCTCTCATTTGGTCCACGTATCTAGTATACGGAATTCCCAATGGCTTAGTGATAACACCATATAAACATAAAAAGCAAATCAAGTAATATTATAACTGCCAATCATATAAAGGATGCAACACATGAATCACAGTGATAGTGGTTGTATTCATGCGTTCGTATCTTTATGAGTAAGAGTTGTATATGATTATTTTTATTTTTATAATCATATAAAGATATTATCACTTGAGGTTATAATAAATGGACCAAGTGGAAAAATATTGAGAACATAAGTCATTGGAATATCACAAAACACTTGATATGATCGACATGTCTAATGATAACTTCAATAACAACGTTTGTCATGATAATAATATGAAGTTACATGATTGTTAATGACTAAATAAATTTGATTTTACTAGTCACAAATGAGAAGGTTACCAAAATTATGTTGTTCATTTTGTATCAGCTTAACTCCAGAAAGCCCTGCATGATATTCACAATATGGATTGATAAACCAAAATCAATCCACCATGCATTATTTAGTGCATCAACAAGAAATGATTCATAACACACTAAAGATATATAAGTATTTTTATTTTCAAGTCAGCTTTTGTTCTTTTGACCTTCCTTCTTGGATAAACTTTATTAGCTTCATGCTGTACAGTGTATTGATAATTTTTCAATTTTCTTTTCATTATGGACACAGTTTACTTACACTTGTAGCCCTTCTTGTGAAATTTAGATCAGCACTATCCCTTTTCTTATCAAACTTCTCATGTTTCAGCCTTTCTTCCCCTTGTACACACATGGTCAAAAGTTCATTACCTGGTCATTTTTCCTTATTTGTGTTATGAGGAATTTTAAATCGACCAAATTCTGTAAAGAGAAAATTCAATATGAAATGGATTAAAAATGATTCAAATAGCCCAACCTCCAAAGACTTTAGTTGGACAACAATATCCCTTGTTCACATTATGACCTCACACACACATTAAAATTGTTAAACTTCATGCCTGAAAACCTTTTCATTAGGGTGCTAGTGAGTGTCTTAATCTAAAATCACATTATTTTTTGATGACTTTTATATGATCTTTTACCTTGTTGCATTCAAGAATGGAACCACTTCCCGACATAATATCTAATGAGCATTATACTTATGTGATTGGATCACTCTTATGGCTCCTATGTCATTTTCTCAAGTGACATACTTAATTCCATGAGAATGGCTGGCTAATCCACACGAAGCACCAAGCCAAAGTCCATGCACCCAAGAGTGAAGAAAATTTTTTTTCCAATCAAAAAATTATCACCACTTAAAATAAGAGAATTATAAAAAAAGAGCAAAAGAAAAAAATATATAAAATAAAAAATAATAATCAACTTTTATGCTATGAAACAAATAATCTATATTAATGCAAATTCTAACCTTCCTATAGGTAGCCGTGCATCATGCATAGAATCTACATCAAGTTTTAATACTTTAATTAATCAAAGCAATAACAAGAGTACTAAAACAATTTTTCATACCTATGGGTCTAGAAAAATTATATTCTCAAGTTACCATCATATGACGATTAAACCATTAGGACCAAGTGCTTATCCTATCACAAGTCCATTATAATCTTACTTAAAGTCATATAACCTTTTATAATCATTTTAAAATAATTACTTTACAATAGATGTGACTATCAATCAACCAATATTATATTATGACTTAGGATGTTGTGGATACTCCTAAATTACAAATATTGAAACCTTATATGACATCTCATAATAATCTCATCAACAATCCTCATGTTGATGCATAATACAAGAAACAACTGAAATCACGTATCACACATACATGCACAATAAGCCACATAAGCCTCTTAAGAGAATCAAAACACATGTAGCAAAGTACAACTTTAAATTGTAAAAAAAAAAAAAAACTTGTCAATTACAAGTCATATAATACAATATGTCGAAGAAGATTATCTCATTAACCAAAAAGTCAACCATCAAAATATTTAAACCCACTATATTACAATTATAATGGTTGAAAGCAAAAAATATAAACATGACAAATTGGTTGTAAAACAAGAACATAAAAACTATAAGGAAATACCCGTTTGAATAAAATTCATAAACGAATCAAATAAATCAATTCCATCAAAGAAACATCTCAAATTTATACTTTATGTCTTGAACAGCATGGATGACGCATGTTCTGATGCCGCTAATGCTAGCAAAAAAAATTCATGTATTAAATATACAACGAAATATAAAATTACCTTCAATCATAATTGTCCAAGAACAATCTTCGGATGCACACACCAAAACCAGAACTACTCCTTGGGTTGATACACTCACAAACAATTAGTATCTTGAAGTCTATGCCTTTTGAATCATCAAGAATGTCTATATCTTGATGGATAACCATATGCTTATATATATGTTAGACAAAAGGCCCCAATACATTATGTTTCATGAAATATTAAATATTTAATGTCATGCTTGATGCTTTATTCTTAATGCTTTCATTCATTATGAAAGAAATTTAAAACAATTTTGATAGCCTAACTAGTAAAATCAATTTCATTTGACTACTAACTATATATAACACCATATCACATGACAAATAACAAATGCTATTATTGAAGTTACTATTTATTAGACATGTCATCACATCAAGTATCTTGTGAGACTTCATGACTTATGGAATTTTCAGAGCTCATCAACCATGGACCAATAGCTGGAAATTGAAACTAAGAATAAATGATATATGTCATGTACATTGGCTACTTTAACCACGTTTTTTCTTTTACTAAAATTAAAACTATGCATTTAGCATAATAGGCTCCTATATTTCCTTCAGATGTCAACAAGTACCGATCATTCAAAGCCTTGCAGATAGAACAATGGGGGACATCTGTGTAGATAATGGTGAATCATTTGATATATGGGATAGATTAGACAATCATCATAAAGACTAGAACATGACTACCATCAACTAATTAAAGGAACATTAA